GGTCATAAACTGGGATGTCTTTTCAAGGTCTCTTAGGTTTCCCCAAAGCTTAGTTGTCAGTTCTACTGGGTGTTGCCATATGTCGCTCTGCAGCTCCGACAGGAGAGGACAGTCTTGCAGGACATGTTCTGGAGTCTGTTCAGCACGAAGGCACTGGCAGAGAGCTGTTTGGCTCATACCTAATTTATGTGAGTGTTTTTTGAGTCTGCAGTGTCCAGTGCGTAAGCGAAAAACTGTGACTTGGTCTGTTCTGATCAAGTGTTTCAGAAAATCTTTTCCGTAGTTATAACCAGTGTTGGTTTTCCAATCTGTTTCTGATTTTCTCTTAATGAGAGTTTTGACTTCTAGAAAAGATAGTGGCTGGTAGGTCTGTGGTTTGTTACTGCCTTCCTTGGCTAAAGCATCTGCGCTTTCATTGCCTTTGATGCCACAGTGAGACGGAATCCACTGCAAGTGAATTTCTGCCTTATTTGACAACATAGCAAGTTCCTGTGTTAGACTTTGTAGTGTGCTGTCGGTAGGTTTGGACTCTAGGGCCTGTATAGCTGACAGTGAGTCAGTCAGAAAAACTATCCTGCCTGCGGTAATTTGCAGATTGTTCATATACTGCGTGTCCAGAACCTGATCTGCTTCCTGTCCAGGTGCAACTAAGTTAATCACAGAGCTGTACTCGTGGAACAACTGTCGTAGAGCCAGACCACTGGGTTAATCACCCAGCTGTACTCGTGGAACACCTGATGTAAAGCCAGACCACTGGGTTAATCACACAGCTGTACTCGTGGAACACCTGATGTAGAGCCAGACCACTGGATTAATCACACAGCTGTACTCGTGGAACAGCTGATGTAGAGCCAGACCACTGGGTTAATCACACAGCTGTACTCGTGTAACACCTGATGAAGAGCCAGACCACTGGGTTAATCACAGAGCTGTACTCGTGGAACACCTGATGTAGAGCCAGACCACTGGATTAATCACACAGCTATACCCGTGGAACACCTGATGTAGAGCCAGACCACTGGATTAATCACACAGCTATACCCGTGGAACACCTGATGTAGAGCCAGACCACTGGATTAATCACACAGCTGTACTCGTGGAACACCTGATGTAGAGCCAGACCACTGGGTTAATCACACAGCTGTACTCGTGGAACACCTGATGTAGAGCCAGACCACTGGATTAATCACACAGCTGTACTCGTGGAACACCTGACGTAAATCCAGACCACTGGGTTAACCACACAGCTGTACTCGTGAAACACCTGATGTGAAGCCAGACCACTGTTTTGCTACCAGTATTTCTTTGAAGAACAGTCTTTGCAATGGAATCAAGTCCCACAATGTGCTCAAACCAAGCTAGCTTGCAACATTTCACAACTGCCAAGAGAGGCTCCTGATGTCCTGTATAATTTAACTATTTGTGTTCTAAATAACAAATTCATAAAACGCATCTGAAGAATTTACATTTGAAAGCCTGAATCCTCCTTTCCATTTTTACAGTGAGAGTCCGACTCTCACATTCGTATAAGAAAACAGACAATACCAGTGATTTGTAAATATTCTTCTTCTTTCGTTCGCATGAAATATATTATCTATATCTGCAATGCTGTCTCTAGTATGAATTTTACTGTCTTTTGTAATTCACTAAGCGGCCCGTAAAGTTTGACTTCCACAAATGTCTCTTTTGGCCAAAGGTGTTGCCTGGAAGCTTTGAATCTGGGACAGTCTTGAAGGATGTGAGCTGTTGTTTCAAGTGCCAGTCCACAAATACACATCGCTGATTGGCCAATCTTAAATTTGTTGTACATGTGGCAGCGAAGTCGATTGTGCCCTGTTCTAAGGCAAGGGATAATGATTTGCTCTGGTCTGTCCATTATATGGTAATCGTCTTGTGCCAGTTTCGATAGCATTCTGACACATGCATTCTGATTTATTTGATCATTCTCCTCTTCTGTTAATAAGAGACTGGTTTGTCGGGTTGTTCTTCAGTTGCACCTTCCTTAGCTAGTTTATCGGCTCTTTCATTTCCGGGAACTCCACAGTGGAATGGTATCCACGGCATTACTAAATTACAACGGTTGCCTAGTTCGGATAATAGTGTCCGAATGCTTGGTAATTTTCCAGACTGGAGTGACATGTTTTTTCTTCTGACAAGAAAATGATGACCGTCTCTTTCTGATGTTTGTGATAAATCCCCTTTAAGTCCTGGCACATATAAATACGAGAGATTTTCAAATAACAAAAATGACAACAACTGTGAGTTTCAGTTTTTAATGAGAGGAAGTCAAACAGTCTCACTAGACGGGGGATCACTAACAGCAAACATGAACCTAAGAGACGAGAACACACAAGTGTACAGCCTGTGATTTATGTAGAGAACTCTTTGATTAACATCAGCAATAACAGCAGTCTTTCTTACCCTACAGAAATGTAATACAGTGCTTCTTTTTTGTCCCACAATTTTCCCAAAGTGTCCAAACACATCATCAAATGACTTGACATACTGATTAATTATAGAAACTTGTGGGTCTATTTCTAAAAAAAACGCGTATTTTTGTCCACATTCCTTACTGCATTGGAACTAGCCCGTCTGAGTTTTTGGGCGAATACCAAAGTTGAAAAAAAGAAAATCAGGGTGAATAAAAAAAAATATGAATACTGACGTGGATGACATTATTTTTGTCTGTTTGATAATGACACGTTCATTCAAAGCACAGGTTTCTTGTGCTGGAGAGTATGTTGTCTCCACACTGGCATGTGTGTGCGTGAGTGTGTGTTTGGAAGACTCTACTGTCTGGTGAGTGTGTGTGGGACTGTCTAGTCTCTCTGTGTGTGTGTGGACTGTCTATGAAGGTGTTTAGACTGGTTGATATGTGTAACAGACTGTGTCTATGTGGACAGTCTATAGAGGTGTGTCTGAAGAGAAATGGAATCCAAGGAAACGTGCTAAAATGGATCCAATCGTTCTTACACAGCAGGAGAACTAGAGTCAGTCTTGATGGCCAGCAGAGCAGAAAAGTGTTACTTCGGCAAGGAGTACCACAGGGAGGAGTTATCTCTCCAACTCTCTTTCTTGTTTATATAAATGATCTGGTGAAAGACCTCCCTACAGGAGTAAAAGCTGCCCTGTATGCAGATGATCTGGCACTCTGGTGTACCGATGAACACACCACAGTGGCAAATATAAGAATGCAGCGAGCAGCAGATCTCTTGATGACATGGGCAGAAAAGTGGCATGTTGCCATCAACACAGACAAAACATCCACAACGCTTTTCTCTCTTTCCCCCAGGGACAAAGCTGTTAGTATTCACCTAGGAACATCCTTGCTAAAGGAAGAAAGCATCCCCACTTATCTTGGAGTAACATTTGATAAAAGGCTCACATGGAGCAAACATATAGAAAATGTAGAAGGGAAGGCCAGGAGACGACTAGGCCTACTTAGAAAACTGGCAGGTACAGGATGGGGAGCGAATGGAAAAACCCTAAAGAAAGTTTTTAATGGACCTCACTTGGAGTTTGGTGCAACAGCATGGTCAACAGCTGCTAATTCCCATCTACAATCGTTAGACAGAGTGCAAAATCAAGCCCTTAGACTCATCACAGGATCCATGAAAACTGCACCAATCCTGGAGATGCAGAAAATAACTGCAATGCAGACACTGTCCTATAGAAGAGACACTAAAACTATGATCCAGATGGAGAAGTTTAATAGTATGCAGTCACACCCAATGAATGAAAGGTTAGATGATCTGGCATTGGGGCGTCTCAAACGTAGCAGCTTTGTCCATCCGGGGAAAAGACTTAGAAGACAGTATCAAGCTGATCTACCTATTAGAACAACACCGCTGAAACCTACCCTATACCCTGAACCTTGGGAGCAAGTCAGTGATACAATACAGATAATGACTACAGTCAATGGATTCACAACTGGAGATGAAACCAATGGTCTTCAAAAACGAACAGCTGCTCTTAGCATGATTCATGAAAACTATCCCGAACAGTCATGGATACATGTTTACACCGATGGATCAGCAACCAGTGCGGTTAAAAATGGGGATGCTGGAGTCTTTATTACATACCCAGGCAACCACCGCCACACAAGTGGATACCCACTGGTAAATTCTGTTCCAACTACACAGCAGAGATTGTAGCACTAGAGCAGGCTGCCGAAATGTTACACAACACCAGTTCTGACTGCCACCAAGTGGTTATATTCACAGATGCGCTTTCAGTGCTTCAAGCCCTCAAGAGTGGCAAACTCCCTCACTTGAGATCTGAACTTGGCAAGGTGGCTGCACCAAAAGCGTACTGTACTCCAGTGGGTGCCATCCCACTGTGGTATACCAGGAATTGAAACCGCAGATAAACTTGCTAAGAAAGGGGCAGAATGTGACCAGGAAGAGGAAGTCATTATCCTACGTCTCAGGACAGGACATAACAAACTTAACCAGCATATGCACAGGCTTCGTCTAAGTAGTTCACCTTTGTGGGCTATGTGTGCAGACTACAGAACATGTCCTGCAAGACTGTCCCTTGTTCATCCCATTAAGAAAGGAATACTGGCCCAGTGAGTCACCACTGTACACAAAGTTGTATCAGACTTAAAATGAACTCATTAAAACAGTCAAGTTTATCACAAGAACCTGTCTATCGGTGTAAATCAGAAAGCGAACACAAGAAGAAGAAGAGGTGATTAATATGTGTGTGCGGTGAACTGTCTACTGTATGGGGGGGAACTGTCTACTCTGTGTGAAGACAGTGTCTATACTGTTTGATATGTCTGGTGAACTGTCTACTCTGTGTGAAGACAGTGTCTATACTGTTTGATATGTCTGGTGAACTGTCTACTGTCTCTGCGTGCGACTAATAATTCTCATGAATCTGATTCTGTTAATGAACCTGTATCCTCAAACCTTAAAGTGGAATGATACAAGATACACGTGAGCAAACACAAGATAAATCATTCAACAAACATCAGAAAGCACCGACTAGTGGAGTCATTTCTTGGAGCTGTGATGATGTGCATAGTCTGGCCAGTCATAAACTGGGGGGATATACGAGTCGTAGTCTGTGCTGAAGATAAACTCTTTGAGAGACGACCGAATGTCTGAGGGCCGTGGGTAGCGGAAAGCAAGGTTATGTTCATAAGCGAAGGTGATGACTGCTTCAGCAAGGTTCAAGGACACTTGCCTGATTGTACTCAACGGAGGGTACAGTCGACCTTCACTGAGATGTTGGTTTGTCACCATCTTTGCCAGTGACTGTAAGATGAGATACAAACATTACATGTTTATACAGAAATGGTATGGCAAACACAACCTCTGACACTATGTCAACGACTCTGGGGGGGGGGGGGGGGGGGGGAGAGCCTACTGGAGAGGTTAATAGTCTTATCTTAGGAAGATAAAATGTAATGTGAAAACTTCATATTCTGACAAGACTGACCTGACCTTTAGCTGACAACTGGTCTCAGATGGAAGCTCTGACAGGAGAACAGATAGAGCACTGGTCTTCTGATGTAGCAGCTTCTGCTGTTGCAAATGTATTAGTGTTACCTTTTCTTTGGAGTAAACAAGGCAGGTTGAGGGAGTGATCAAGCTGCACAGGCAACACATGGTCTCAACAATACTACCCAGGCTTTGTGTTACAGAGAGGAGAAACTTCATCCCTTTATTTGTCCATCACCAAGAGCTGCGATTCCCAGGCCTCCCTGTTGCAGAATATAACACTGCTGTCTGGAGAGGTGCCAACAGTAGAAAAATGACATGCTTCACCACGTTTGTCATCTACACCTATTGTCTTCTGCACAGATGTGGGGATGCTGCGGGACAGAGATGACACTGACTAGAAGCTCTCTTTAGCTCCAGGTGAGGCAGACACTAGACAGAGAGATCAGCAGCCAGTGCCAGGAAACTTTCCACATTACAAGACCATAATGAGTCACAACAACTCTCTGTCCCACATTATCACTGGAGCAGAATAGAAGAAGGAAGAAACATGGACAATAAAGGAAGAAATGATGACAATAAAGAAACAATGACAATAAAGGAAGAAATGATGACAATAAAGAAACAAGGACAATAAAGGAAGAAATGATGACAAAAAAGTAAGCAACAAGGACAATAAAGGAAGAAATGATGACAAGAAAGAAACAATGACAATAAAGGAAGAAATGATGACAAAAAAGTAAGCAACAAGGACAATAAAGGAAGAAATGATGACAAGAAACAAGGACAATAAAGGAAGAAATGATGACAAGAATGAAACAAGGACAATAAAGGAAGAAATGATGATAAGAAACAAGGACAATAAAGGAAGAAATGATGACAAGAAACAAGGACAATAAAGGAAGAAATGATGACAAGAATGAAACAAGGACAATAAAGGAAGAAATGATGACAAGAAAGAAACAAGGACAATGAAGGAAGAAATTATGACAAGAAAGAAACAAGGACAATAAAGGAAGAAATGATGACAAGAAACAAGGACAATAAAGGAAGAAATGATGACAAGAATGAAACAAGGACAATAAAGGAAGAAATGATGACAAGAAAGAAACAATGACAATAAAGGAAGAAATGATGACAAGAAAGAAACAAGGACAATAAAGGAAGAAATGATGACAAAAAAGTAAGCAACAAGGACAATAAAGGAAGAAATGATGACAAGAAAGAAACAATGACAATAAAGGAAGAAATGATGACAAAAAAGTAAGCAACAAGGACAATAAAGGAAGAAATGATGACAAGAAACAAGGACAATAAAGGAAGAAATGATGACAAGAAACAAGGACAATAAAGGAAGAAATGATGACAAGAATGAAACAAGGACAATAAGGGAAGAAATGATGACAAGAAACAAGGACAATAAAGGAAGAAATGATGACAAGAAACAAGGACAATAAAGGAAGAAATGGTGACAAGAATGAAACAAGGACAATAAAGGAAGAAATGATGACAAGAAAGAAACAAGGACAATAAAGGAAGAAATGATGACAAGAAAGAAACAAGGACAATAAAGGAAGAAATGATGACAAGAAAAAGGACAATAAAGGAAGAAATGATGACAAGAATGAAACAAGGACAATAAAGGAAGAAATGATGACAAGAAAGAAACAATGACAATAAAGGAAGAAATGATGACAAGAAAGAAACAAGGACAATAAAGGAAGAAATGATGACAAGAAAGAAACAAGGACAATAAAGGAAGAAATGATGACAAGAAAGAAACATGGACAATAAAGGAAGAAATGATGACAAGAAAGAAACATGGACAATAAAGGAAGAAATGATGACAAGAAAGAAACAATGACAATAAAGGAAGAAATGATGACAAAAAAGAAACATGGACAATAAAGGAAGAAATGATGACAAGAAAGAAACATGGACAATAAAGGAAGAAATGATGACAAGAAAGAAACATGGAAAATAAAGGATGAAATGATGACAAGAAAGAAACAATGACAATAAAGGAAGAAATGATGACAAGAAAAAAACATGGACAATAAAGGAAGAAATGATGACAAGAAAGAAACAAGGACAATAAAGGAAGAAATGATGACAAGAAAGAAACAATGACAATAAAGGAAGAAATGATGACAAGAAAGAAACAAGGACAATAAAGGAAGAAATGATGACAAGAAAGAAACGAGGACAATAAAGGAAGAAATGATGACAAGAAAGAAACAAGGACAATAAAGGAAGAAATGATGACAAGAAAGAAACAAGGACAATAAAGGAAGAAATGATGACAAAAAAGTAAGCAACAAGGACAAGAAAGGAAGAAAACAGGACAAGAAAGAAAGCAACAATGACAAAAAAAAGAAGCAACAATGACAAGAAGGAAACAATGATAAGAAAGAACAATGACAAGAAAGGAAGAAACAAGGATAAGAAAGAAAGCAACAATGACAACAAAACATTATATGACAGACAATGGGCATCATTATCCAGAGCCTTGCCGAACTGGCGTGGACAATCATGCTTCTTTTCTCATTATCTTCCAATCTTCAATTATCATTTCTTCTGCTGATATCTTCCTATATTATGACCAATGGCTCTCAAGTATGTTGTTGTCTTCCACTCTCTCTCTCTGTCTATAAATATTTCCAGCTATCACATATTCCAGTGTTTTATTTCCCAATGAGCCATCAAATCATGAGTGCCCCTGTCCTCTGCCTGCTGTCAGATGTCTTGAGTCTCTTTCAAAACCCTAGTGCTACTGAAATTGAATACATCAGCATGTGTGAGGAAACCCCTACCCGTCTCATCTCGACCGGCACTACCAAGTAACTACAACAGCATGTTTACAGAGCCCCATCTCACCTCAGCTGTCTGGAGGTACCAAAGATAAATACATCAGTGTGTCTGGGGGAAGGACCCAACTCACCTCCGCTGCCTGGGGAGGACCCAACTCACCTCTGCTGTCTGGGGGTACCAAAGATAAATACATCAGCATGTCTGGGGGAAGGACCTAACTCACCTCCGCTGCCTGGGAGTACCAAAGATAAATACATCAGTGTGTCTGGGGGAAAGACCCAACTCACCTCCGCTGCCTGGGGAGGACCCAACTCACCTCTGCTGTCTGGGGGAAGGACACAACTCACCTCTGCTGTCTGGGGGAAGGACACAACTCACCTCCACTGTCTGGGGGAAGGACACAACTCACCTCAGCTGTCTGGGGGAAGGACACAACTCACCTCCACTGTCTGGGGGAAGGACACAACTCACCTCCACTGTCTGGGGGAAGGACACAACTCACCTCAGCTGTCTGGGGGAAGGACACAACTCACCTCCACTGTCTGGGGGAAGGACACAACTCACCTCCACTGTCTGGGGGAAGGACACAACTCACCTCAGCTGTCTGGGGGAAGGACCCAACTCACCTCTGCTGTCTGGGGGAAGGACACAACTCACCTCCACTGTCTGGGGGAAGGACACAACTCACCTCCACTGTCTGGGGGAAGGACACAACTCACCTCAGCTGTCTGGGGGAAGGACACAACTCACCTCCACTGTCTGGGGGAAGGACACAACTCACCTCAGCTGTCTGGGGGAAGGACCCAACTCACCTCTGCTGTCTGGGGGAAGGACACAACTCACCTCCACTGTCTGGGGGAAGGACACAACTCACCTCCACTGTCTGGGGGAAGGACACAACTCACCTCAGCTGTCTGGGGGAAGGACACAACTCACCTCCACTGTCTGGGGGAAGGACACAACTCACCTCAGCTGTCTGGGGGAAGGACACAACTCACCTCAGCTGTCTAAGGGAAGGACACAACTCACCTCCACTGTCTGGGGGAAGGACACAACTCACCTCAGCTGTCTAAGGGAAGGACACAACTCACCTCAGCTGTCTAAGGGGAAGGACACAACTCACCTCAGCTGTCTAAGGGAAGGACACAACTCACCTCAGCTGTCTAAGGGGAAGGACACAACTCACCTCAGCTGTCTAAGGGAAGGACACAACTCACCTCAGCTGTCTAAGGGAAGGACACAACTCACCTCAGCTGTCTAAGGGAAGGACACAACTCACCTCAGCTGTCTGGGGGAAGGACACAACTCACCTCAGCTGTCTGGGGGAAGGACACAACTCACCTCAGCTGTCTGGGGGAAGGACACAACTCACCTCAGCTGTCTGGGGGAAGGACACAACTCACCTCAGCTGTCTAAGGGAAGGACACAACTCACCTCAGCTGTCTGGGGGAAGGACACAACTCACCTCAGCTGTCTGGGGGAAGGACACAACTCACCTCAGCTGTCTAAGGGGAAGGACACAACTCACCTCAGCTGTCTGGGGGAAGGACACAACTCACCTCAGCTGTCTAAGGGGAAGGACACAACTCACCTCAGCTGTCTAAGGGAAGGACACAACTCACCTCAGCTGTCTAAGGGAAGGACACAACTCACCTCCACTGTCTAAGGGAAGGACACAACTCACCTCAGCTGTCTAGGGGAAGGACACAACTCACCTCAGCTGTCTAAGGGGAAGGACACAACTCACCTCAGCTGTCTGGGGGAAGGACACAACTCACCTCAGCTGTCTGGGGGAAGGACACAACTCACCTCCACTGTCTGGGGGAAGGACACAACTCACCTCAGCTGTCTGGGGGAAGGACACAACTCACCTCAGCTGTCTGGGGGAAGGACACAACTCACCTCAGCTGTCTGGGGGAAGGACACAACTCACCTCAGCTGTCTGGGGGAAGGACACAACTCACCTCAGCTGTCTGGGGGAAGGACACAACTCACCTCAGCTGTCTAAGGGAAGGACACAACTCACCTCAGCTGTCTGGGGGAAGGACACAACTCACTTCCACTGTCTGGGGGAAGGACACAACTCACCTCAGCTGTCTGGGGGAAGGACACAACTCACCTCAGCTGTCTAAGGGAAGGACACAACTCACCTCAGCTGTCTGGGGGAAGGACACAACTCACCTCAGCTGTCTAAGGGGAAGGACACAACTCACCTCAGCTGTCTAAGGGAAGGACACAACTCACCTCAGCTGTCTGGGGGAAGGACACAACTCACCTCAGCTGTCTAAGGGAAGGACACAACTCACTTCCACTGTCTGGGGGAAGGACACAACTCACCTCAGCTGTCTGGGGGAAGGACACAACTCACCTCAGCTGTCTGGGGGAAGGACACAACTCACCTCAGCTGTCTAAGGGAAGGACACAACTCACCTCCACTGTCTAAGGGAAGGACACAACTCACCTCCACTGTCTAAGGGAAGGACACAACTCACTTCCACTGTCTGGGGGAAGGACACAACTCACCTCAGCTGTCTAAGGGAAGGACACAACTCACCTCAGCTGTCTGGGGGAAGGACACAACTCACCTCAGCTGTCTGGGGGAAGGACACAACTCACCTCAGCTGTCTAAGGGAAGGACACAACTCACCTCAGCTGTCTGGGGGAAGGACACAACTCACCTCAGCTGTCTAAGGGAAGGACACAACTAACCTCAGCTGTCTGGGGGAAGGACACAACTCACCTCAGCTGTCTAAGGGAAGGACACAACTCACCTCAGCTGTCTAAGGGAAGGACACAACTCACCTCAGCTGTCTGGGGGAAGGACACAACTCACCTCAGCTGTCTAAGGGAAGGACACAACTCACCTCAGCTGTCTAAGGGAAGGACACAACTCACCTCAGCTGTCTAAGGGAAGGACACAACTCACCTCAGCTGTCTAAGGGAAGGACACAACTCACCTCAGCTGTCTAAGGGAAGGACACAACTCACCTCAGCTGTCTAAGGGAAGGACACAACTCACCTCAGCTGTCTAAGGGAAGGACACAACTCACCTCCACTGTCTGGGGGAAGGACACAACTCACCTCAGCTGTCTGGGGGAAGGACACAACTCACCTCCACTGTCTGGGGGAAGGACACAACTCACCTCAGCTGTCTGGGGGAAGGACACAACTCACCTCCACTGTCTGGGGGAAGGACACAACTCACCTCAGCTGTCTGGGGGAAGGACACAACTCACCTCCACTGTCTGGGGGAAGGACACAACTCACCTCCACTGCCTGGGGGAAGGACCCAACTCACTTCCGCTGTCTAAGGGAAGGACACAACTCACTTCCGCTGTCTAAGGGAAGGACACAACTCACTTCCGCTGTCTAAGGACACACAACTCACTTCCGCTGTCTAAGGGAAGGACACAACTCACCTCACAACTCACCTCAGCTGTCTAAGGGAAGGACACAACTCACCTCAGCTGTCTAAGGGAAGGACACAACTCACCTCAGCTGTCTGGGGGAAGGACACAACTCACCTCAGGTCTGGGGGAAGGACACAACTCACCTCAGCTGTCTAGGGAAGGACACAACTCACCTCTGTCTAAGGGAAGGACACAACTCACCTCAGCTGTCTAAGGGAAGGACACAACTCACCTCAGCTGTCTGGGGGAAGGACACAACTCACCTCAGCTGTCTAAGGGGAAGGACACAACTCACCTCAGCTGTCTAAGGACACAACTCACCTCAGCTGTCTAAGGACACACACTCACCTCAGCTGTCTAAGGGAAGGACACAACTCACCTCAGCTGTCTAAGGGAAGGACACAACTCACCTCAGCTGTCTGGGGGAAGGACACAACTCACCTCAGCTGTCTAAGGGAAGGACACAACTCACCTCAGCTGTCTAAGGGAAGGACACAACTCACCTCAGCTGTCTAAGGGGAAGGACACACACTCACTGTCAGCTGTCCTCAGCTGGGGAAGGACACAACTCACCTCAGCTGTCTAAGGGGGAAGGACACAACTCACCTCAGCTGTCTAAGGGAAGGACACAACTCACCTCAGCTGTCTGGGGGAAGGACACAACTCACCTCAGCTGTCTGGGGGAAGGACACAACTCACCTCAGCTGTCTGGGGAAGGACACAACTCACCTCAGCTGTCTAAGGGAAGGACACAACTCACCTCAGCTGTCTGGGGAAGGACACAACTCACCTCAGCTGTCTAGGGGAAGGACACAACTCACCTCAGCTGTCTAAGGGAAGGACACAACTCACCTCAGCTGTCTAAGGGAAGGACACAACTCACCTCAGCTGTCTGGGGGAAGGACACAACTCACCTCAGCTGTCTGGGGGAAGGACACAACTCACCTCAGCTGTCTAAGGGAAGGACACAACTCACCTCAGCTGTCTGGGGGAAGGACACAACTCACCTCAGCTGTCTAAGGGAAGGACACAACTCACCTCAGCTGTCTGGGGGAAGGACACAACTCACCTCAGCTGTCTGGGGGAAGGACACAACTCACCTCAGCTGTCTAAGGGAAGGACACAACTCACCTCAGCTGTCTGTCTGGGGGAAGGACACAACTCACCTCAGCTGTCTAAGGGAAGGACACAACTCACCTCAGCTGTCTAAGGGAAGGACACAACTCACCTCAGCTGTCTAAGGGAAGGACACAACTCACCTCAGCTGTCTGGGGGAAGGACACAACTCTCACCTCAGCTGTCTAAGGGAAGGACACAACTCACCTCAGCTGTCTGGGGGAAGGACACAACTCACCTCAGCTGTCTGGGAGGGAAGGACACAACTCACCTCCACTGTCTGGGGGAAGGACACAACTCACCTCAGCTGTCTGGGGGAAGGACACAACTCACCTCCACTGTCTGGGGGAAGGACACAACTCACCTCAGCTGTCTGGGGGAAGGACACAACTCACCTCCACTGTCTGGGGGAAGGACACAACTCACCTCAGCTGTCTGGGGGAAGGACACAACTCACCTCAGCTGTCTGGGGGAAGGACACAACTCACCTCCACTGTCTGGGGGAAGGACACAACTCACCTCAGCTGTCTGGGGGAAGGACACAACTCACCTCCACTGTCTGGGGGAAGGACACAACTCACTTCCGCTGTCTAAGGGAAGGACACAACTCACTTCCGCTGTCTAAGGGAAGGACACAACTCACTTCCGCTGTCTAAGGGAAGGACACAACTCACTTCCGCTGTCTAAGGGAAGGACACAACTCACCTCAGCTGTCTAAGGGAAGGACACAACTCACCTCAGCTGTCTAAGGGAAGGACACAACTCACCTCAGCTGTCTGGGGGAAGGACACAACTCACCTCAGCTGTCTGGGGGAAGGACACAACTCACCTCAGCTGTCTGGGGGAAGGACACAACTCACCTCAGCTGTCTAAGGGAAGGACACAACTCACCTCAGCTGTCTAAGGGAAGGACACAACTCACCTCAGCTGTCTAAGGGAAGGACACAACTCACCTCAGCTGTCTAAGGGGAAGGACACAACTCACCTCAGCTGTCTAAGGGAAGGACACAACTCACCTCAGCTGTCTGGGGGAAGGACACAACTCACCTCAGCTGTCTGGGGGAAGGACACAACTCACCTCAGCTGTCTGGGGGAAGGACACAACTCACCTCAGCTGTCTGGGGGAAGGACACAACTCACCTCAGCTGTCTAAGGGAAGGACACAACTCACCTCAGCTGTCTAAGGGAAGGACACAACTCACTTCCGCTGTCTGGGGGAAGGACACAACTCACCTCAGCTGTCTGGGGGAAGGACACAACTCACCTCAGCGGCGGCCAAGAATAAATTCTCTGTGACCCGTCTGATGTCAGCAAAAATGATGGCCAGGGCCATGCCAGGAAATATGTAAGCGTTGTTGCCTTGTCCAGGGTGCAATGTCTGACCCTTGTAGGTCACCGCAGGAAATGGGCTGCCACTTGCAAACACCGCCCGGCCCTGAGAGAACAGAGAGGACTTTTGGTTCAAGATTAGGGTTGTGATCAAGCGCTAGATGTGCCAGGAGCCACAGTGACATCACGACTAGATGCTCCGCCGACTCCCCCCCCCCCCCCACCAACGGTTTAGAAGTCTTGGGTTCAAATCTGCATTGAGTGTTTTGTTTTGTAAATGACAGAAATGACCTTGGCTCCCAGGTATCCCCATCCTAAAATGGGTAGCATGTAAAGCCATGGGAAGTAAAGACAACTGGCTGGATGCTGGCCAATCCAGTACCGTCTGGTCTACACAAACATGAGTGACATCACATATCTGATACCATACTGGCTGGATGCTGACTAATCCAGAACCGTTTGGTCTATACAAACATGAGTGGCATCACATATCTGATACCATACTGGCTGGATGCTGACTAATCCAGAACGTTTGGTCCACACAAACATGAGTGGCATCACATATCTGATACCATAAAGGCTTCTTTACTTACTCAAATCTAATGGAGACATAACAGTTTGAATTGTGTCATAAAGTTTGAGTTCGCCAGGAGTCTGAGAATCCCTGCGTTGATTTAAATGCCACTTGTACTGTCCACGTATTTCACCGGAATAATGAACAAAGTGCAAAGACAATGGTTTACAGGTCCACTAGTGTAAAAGTTTATCAGCCTGAGATAACAAACCTTCAGGACAGATCCCAGATATGCCATCATTTCACCTGCACACAAGTGATAATGAGGCCACTCACAACAGCATCAGCTCATCACATGCACACACAATTATTATTAGACTGGGCTCGCTGGGGAAGCAGGCACAGCAGTGCTGCTATCTACAGAGCCATGAGATCATAACACATCCATGTAGTGCAGACAAGCAAGTCAGCTCGGGGGCTTTCATCGTGGCCAGTTGCCGAAACAAAACTTGGTCTGATTTATACATACTTTGGCCTTGCTGTTGGGAAACAATCTTCTTCCCACATAGCACAATAACTGGATACTGGCTTGAGACAACATCACATCACATCATCTTAACAGCAACATGACTGTAAGCCACATCACAAAAGCAACTGACCCCAACCTGGTCAGTGCTAGGAACCGAAAATGTTCCACACAGTAGGAAAGTTTCTAACAAATCTGGACTTGGCCAAAGGTTAACCTATGTGACCTAGGCTTTTTCCTGAGTTACACAGTAATCATCATCATCATCATCATGTAGCAGGTCCTTTGCAGAACCTCGCTCTCATCACAGTCTGCCTGAAAGAAACTCCATCTTTCGCCAGTTCTCCCGCCTCATGCACTTTGACATTCAAGGAGTCACTTATATCCTGTGCCCATCTTCGTGTTGGTCGGCCCCTGCCCCTCCTTCCTGGTACAATGCCTTCTGCTATAATCTTTTCCAAACTGTCGTGGCTCTTGATATGACCAAAATATTTCAGCTCTCGAGAAAGGATGCTGTTTATTAGCCAGTCTTTCTTGATGTTCAGATCTTTTAAGATGTCAATATTTCTCCTCTTGTTTGTCCAAGATATTCACTGTCGGTTCACGCTGATATCAAGGGCCTTAACAAGGTTCACAGTGACTCTCATTTCTTGTACATTTGTTGGGGGTTAAGGAGGAAAAAGCTCCTTGACTGAGTTAACTCATGCTTTACCAAACCAGTTGACACATAAATTATTACAAGTATATATATTCCAATAAATATAGATTTGACCAAGCCTCAAAAACGACACCAGATAATTTCATGATTGTTAAGGTTGTGATGTGAACACATGGGAAGCAAAAATAAAGTGAGTGGAGATGTAGTTTCTGATGTTAACAGATAAGACACCAAGACTTAGTGAGTGGATGTGTAGCTGTGGATAGGGAGGCAAAAGAAGGAAACACACAGTCAGTGGATGTGTAGCTGTGGATAGGGAGGCAAAAGAAGGAAACACACAGTCAGTGGATGTGTAGCTGTGGATAGGGAGGCAAAAGAAGAAAACACACAGTCAGTGGATGTGTAGCTGTGGATAGGGAGGCAAAAGAAGGAAACACACAGTCAGTGGATGTGTAGCTGTGGATAGGGAGGCAAAAGAAGAAAACACACAGTCAGTGGATGTGTAGCTGTGGATAGGGAGGCAAAAGAAGGAAACACACAGTCAGTGGATGTGTAGCTGTGGATAGGGAGGCAAAAGAAGAAACACACAGTCAGTGGATGTGTAGCTGTGGATAGGGAGGCAAAAGAAGAAACACACAGTCAGTGGATGTGTAGCTGTGGATAGGGAGGCAAAAGAAGAAACACACAGTCAGTGGATGTATAGTTACTGATGTGGTTGTGAGAAACAATGGGATCTGACAACTGTGAGACCCACCTCAGTAGCAGTGTAGGCCAGTTCTGCAGTACATTCAGCCTTGCTGGTGGGGTTACTCAAGGCAAACACTACTGGTCTCTTGTTGATCTTGGCCAGAAAGGCAAGGATTCTCTCAGTGAAGGCACCAGACACAGCTGCTGCACCTAAAGACAGACAATATTAACCAGCTGATACTTGCCCCAGCACACAGACTACACATCTCACACAGACTACACATCTCACACACACTACACACCTTACACAGATTACACATCTCACACACACTACACATCTCACACTACACACTGCACACAGACTACACATCTCACACACACTACACGTCTCACACAGACTACACACCTTACACAGATTACACATCTCACACACACTACACATCTCACGCTACACACTGCACACAGACTACACATCACACACAGACTACACATCTCACACAGATTACATGTCTCATGCAGACTACACATCTCACACAGATTACACAGACTACACGTCTCGCACAGACTACACATCTCACATGTTCAATGCCTACCTCTGACACCAACAGACCAGGTGGGAATCCCCATTAGGATGTTAAGGATTTGTACCAACAACAAAAAAGGAGACATTTGAGCATGGTGTACTCACTCTCTCTAAACCCAGTGTAATTAACCAGACATCCTTCCATATCCACATCACAATGTATGACTTCATTCACATCACAATGTATGACTTCCTCCACATCACAATGTATGACTTCCTCCACATCACAATGTATGACTTCATTCACATCACAATGTATGACTTCATTCACATCACAATGTATGACTTCATTCACATCACAATGTATGACTTCATTCACATCACAATGTATGACTTCATCCACATCACAATGTATGACTTCATCCACATCACAATGTATGACTTCATTCACATCACAATGTATGACTTCATCCACATCACAATGTATGACTTCATCCACATCACAATGTATGACTTCATTCACATCACAATGTATGACTTCATCCACATCACAATGTATGACTTCATCCACATCACAATGTATGACTTCATTCACATCACAATGTACGACTTCATTCACATCACAATGTACGACTTCATTCACATCACAATGTATGACTTCATTCACATCACAATGTATGACTTCATCCACATCACAATGTATGACTTCATCCACATCACAATGTATGACTTCATTCACATCACAATGTATGACTTCATTCACATCACAATGTATGACTTCATTCACATCACAATGTATGACTTCATCCACATCACAATGTATGACTTCATTCACATCACAATGTATGACTTCATCCACATCACAATGTATGACTTCATTCACATCACAATGTACGACTTCATTCACATCACAATGTATGACTTCACTCACATCACAATGTATGACTTCATTCACATCACAATGTATGACTTCATTCACATCACAATGTATGACTTCATTCACATCACAATGTATGACTTCATTCACATCACAATGTATGACTTCATTCACATCACAATGTATGACTTCATCCACATCACAATGTATGACTTCATTCACATCACAATGTATGACTTCATCCACATCACAATGTATGACTTCATTCACATCACAATGTATGACTTCCTTCACATCACAATGTATGACTTCATTCACATCACAATGTATGACTTCATTCACATCACAATGTACGACTTCATTCACATCACAATGTATGACTTCATTCACATCACAATGTATGACTTCATTCACATCACAATGTACGACTTCATTCACATCACAATGTATGACTTCATTCACATCACAATGTACGACTTTATTCACATTACAATGTACGACTTCATTCACATCACAATGTATGACTTCATTCACATCACAATGTATGACTTCATTCACATCACAATGTATGACTTCATTCACATCACAATGTATGACTTCATTCACATCACAATGTATGACTTCATTCACATCACAATGTATGACTTCATTCACATCACAATGTATGACTTCATCCACATCACAATGTATGACTTCATTCACATCACAATGTATGACTTCATTCACATCACAATGTACGACTTCATTCACATCACAATGTATGACTTCATTCACATCACAATGTACAACTTCATTCACATCACAATGTACGACTTCATTCACATCACAATGTATGACTTCATTCACATCACAATGTAAGACTTCATTCACATCACAATGTATGACTTCATTCACATCACAATGTATGACTTCATTCACATCACAATGTATGACTTCATTCACATCACAATGTATGACTTCATTCACATCACAATGTATGACTTCATCCACATCACAATGTATGACTTCATTCACATCACAATGTACGACTTCATTCACATCACAATGTATGACTTCATTCACATCACAATGTACAACTTCATTCACATCACAATGTACGACTTCATTCACATCACAATGTATGACTTCATTCACATCACAATGTAAGACTTCATTCACATCACAATGTATGACTTCATTCACATCACAATGTATGACTTCATTCACATCACAATGTATGACTTCATTCACATCACAATGTAAGACTTCATTCACATCACAATGTATGACTTCATTCACATCACAATGTATGACTTCATTCACATCACAATGTATGACTTCATTCACATCACAATGTATGACTTCATTCACATCACAATGTATGACTTCATTCACATCACAATGTATGACTTCATTCACATCACAATGTATGACTTCATTCACATCACAATGTATGACTTCATTCACATCACAATTAGGACACTACCCACACTACTATTCACTTACAGACAACCAAATGCTTTAATGAAACATGACATCAGCTATGATAAGATCCAAACCCAAACACACAATGTCACATACCAATAATGGTAGTGGGTTTCACACTTTCCACAATGGCTTCCAGGTTTTCCATTGGAGGATGATCCTTGGCAAACATGAGCTTTTCTTCCTCGATGCCCCCACTAGGACGGTTCTAGACATGGCGGAAGTAGAAATGTTAGACGTGGGACAAGTGAGAGAAAGCAAATCATTCAACAGCTTCAGATTATTATAAAAACCCTGCTCCAAGTTCTACAACACATGTTCCCACCTCTACAACATATATGTTCCAGTTCTACATCACATGTTCCCACCTCTACAACATATATGTCCCAGTTCTACAACACATGTTCCCACCTCTACAACATATATGTCCCAGTTCTACAACACATGTTCCCACCTCTACAACATATATGTCCCAGTTCTACAACACATGTTTCCATCTCTACAACATATATGTCCCAGTTCTACAACACATGTTCCCACCTCTACAACATATATGTCCCAGTTCTACAACAACATGTTCCCACCTCTACAACATATATGTCCCAGTTCTACAACACATGTTCCCACCTCTACAACATATATGTCCCAGTTCTACAACACATGTTCCCACCTCTACAACATATATGTCCCAGTTCTACAACACATGTTTCCATCTCTACAACATATATGTCCCAGTTCTACAACACATGTTTCCACCTCTACAACATATATATCCCAGTTCTACAACAACATGTTCCCACCTCTACAACATATATGTCCCAGTTCTACAACAACATGTTCCCACCTCTACAACATATATGTCCCAGTTCTACAACAACATGTTCCCACCTCTACAACATATATGTCCCAGTTCTACAACACATGTGCCCACCTCTACAACATATATGTCCCAGTTCTACAACACATGTTTCCATCTCTACAACATATATGCCCCAGTTCTACATGATCTCTACAATCTACATTCCCAGTTCTACATTATTTATTTTCCATCCTTTGTTCCAACCTCTACAATATAGGCTCCCAGTTCTACATTATATGTTCCCAACTTTACAATGATGTTCCTAACTTTAAAACAGATGTTCCCTAATCAAAAAATTTCCCACATCTACATTAGATGATTCCGTATGTACAACAGATGTCCCACATCTACATTAGATGATCCCGTATGTAAAACATATGTCCCACATCTACATTAGATGATCCCGTATGTACAACAGATATCCCACATCTACATTAGATGATCCAGTATGTACAACAGATGTCCCACATCTACATTAGATGATCCCGTATGTACAACAGATGTCCCACATCTACATTAGATGATCCCGTATGTACAACAGATGTCCCACATCTACATTAGATGATCCCGTATGTACAACAGATGTTTCCGTATCTACATTAGATGTTCTTATCAGTATGTTCTATGTTCATAATTCTACTACATAACACTGTAGCGTCAGATAAACACAAAAGAGACGAACATGCAGGTCTACCTTCACAAGCAGCCCCTTGGAACCAATCAACAACAGAGACAAACATGCAGGTCTACCTTTACAAGCAGCCCCTTGGAATCAATCAACAACAGAGACAAACATGCAGGTCTACCTTCACAAGCAGCCCCTTGGAATCAATCAACCAGATCTGCTTCAGAGTCTGCTCCAAACCCTGGCCAGTTTTGGTAATTGCCTGCACCAACAGCCTAGCAATGCCAATGGAGGCCTAGAATAGGACATGCATATATATAAATATATTTATATATAAATGTATATTATTTAGTTCTTTTTAATTAATTTATATTTGACTTTATTGCTCGCGCTTTCTCCTAGCTACCCATCTCCCCTTTTCACATCAACGTGACTGGTTTGTGATATGTCAGTATTTTGTAAAAATTAGAAAAAAAAATTATGTAATGTGCTGATGAACGCTGTGTAGTTGCTACGTTCACTTTTCATTTCTGTTTGTTATACTGTGAAGCTTGCTTTTCGTTCGGTTTTGTATCTTTCCAGGCACACACTGAGAGAAAAAAATAGGTAAGACACATGGTTGGGTTGCTCTTCTGGAAGACAGATTTTGAAAGCTTAAACCTAAAGCATTTGTGTTCAGGTTTTGTAGGCCCTGGTAAGGGGTTGCCTCCATCAAAGTATGGTGTAAAGATTGATCTCCTGACCCAACACCAAAGTCTACAAGGACTGTGCTAAACATTTTGTCTTTAATAAGGCATAGAACAGATGCACAACACTTAGACACAGATGTACAGCAAACAGCCTACTTCTCCAGACAACAAGAAAAGAAAGACATTCTTCTGTAAACACACAACCTACCTCCCCATCCCTCAAGGAAAGAAAGACATTCTTCTGTAAACACACAACCTACCTCTCCAGCCCCCAAGAACAGAAAGACATTCTTCTGTAAACATACAACCTACCTCTCCAGCCCTCAAGGAAAGAAAGACATTCTTCTGTAAACACTACAACCTACCTCTCCAGCCCCCAAGGAAAGAAAGACATTCTTCTGTAAAAATACAACCTACCTCTCCAGCCCCCAAGAACAGAAAGACATTCTTCTGTAAACATACAATCTACCTCTCCAGCCCTCAAGGAAAGAAAGACATTCTTCTGTAAACACTACAACCTACCTCTCCAGCCCCCAAGGAAAGAAAGACATTCTTCTGTAAAAATACAACCTACCTCTCCAGCCCCCAAGGAAAGAAAGGCATTCTTCTGTAAACATACAACCTACCTCTCCAGCCCCCAAGGAAAGAAAGACATTCTTCTGTAAACATACAACCTACCTCTCCAGCCCCCAAGGAAAGAAAGACATTCTTCTGTAAACATACAACCTACCTCTCCAGCCCCCAAGAAGAGAAAGACACTCTTCTGTAAACATACAACCTACCTCTCCAGCCTCCAAGAAGAGAAAGAGATTCTTCTGTAAACATACAACCTACCTCTCCAGCCCCCAAGAAGAGAAAGACATTCTTCTGTAAACATACAACCTACCTCTCCAGCCCTCAAGGAAAGAAAGACATTCTTCTGTAAACATACAACCTACCTCGCCCGAGTGTTGGGACCAAACAGATAACAATATGCCTGATGCAGGATGTTAAATTCTGTCCTGCTAACGGTTCGTCAAAGATATCTAACATGCGAAGAAAAAGAATGCACCTATTTGTGTGGTCACAAAAGTCCGGAACCCCGCTGCTCCCCTCTGATCTCCGGAGGGCACAGCCCTTGTCGAGCGGAAGGCCTTATACGGTTGTGAGGTTAAGCAGGCATGTGCAGGACGTGATGATTCCTTGGGTAAGCCCAGAACCAGAGCGCCATGTGCTGGCTCTGCATACGTGGAAGCCTCCTTGGATGGCGGGGAATGCCCATGATCTGCCTCTGCCTTCATTTGAGGGCTAACCGTTCCACAAGGGGCTACCCCAAAGGGCTACTCCGGAGGCAACACCTGCGAAGAAGGCGACAAAGAGGACACCACACAAATCAGACAACGTCTCGACCCACAAAACAATGGCCACAGTCATCCTAGAAATAGGCCTGACGTTTTCCCTCGAAGTCGGAGTACAGCTGCCCATGAGGCAGGGAACAGCAAAACGGTTGCACACGCAAAACTCAGGTCCAGGTAAAAGCCAAAAGTCCAAGCGGACGATTAACTGGGACCTTCCGCCGGAATTCACAGCCGGTGAACGAAGAAAAAGAAATTCTTCTGTAAACATATAACCTATCTCTCCATCCTCAAATAAAAGAAAGACATTCGTTTGTAAACATACAACCTACCTCACCAGCCACCAGAAAGAGACAGACATTCTTCTGTAAACACACAACCTACCTCTCCATCCCCAAATAAAAGAAAGACATTCTTCTGTAAACACATAACCTACCTCTCCAGCCCCCAAGAAGAGAAAGACACTCTTCTGCAAACATACAACCTACCTCTCCAGCCACCAGGAAGAGAAAGACACTCTTCTGTAAACATACAACCTACCTCTCCAGCCCCCAAGAAAAGAAAGACATTCTTCTGTAAACATACAACCTACCTCTCCAGCCCCCAAGAAGAGAAAGACACTCTTCTGTAAACATACAACCTACCTCTCCAGCCACCAGGAAGAGAAAGACACTCTTCTGTAAACATACAAACTACCTCTCCAGCCCCCTAATAAAAGAAAGACATTCGTTTGTAAACATACAACCTACCTCTCCAGCCACAAGGAAGAGAAAGACACTCTTCTGTAAACATACAACCTACCTCTCCAGCCAACAAATAAAAGAAAGACATTCTTCTGTTAACATACAACCTACCTCTTCAGCCCCCAAGAAGAGAAAGACATTCTTCTGTAAACATACAACCTACCTCTCTAGCCCCCAAGAAAAGAAAGACATTCTTCTGTAAACATACAACCTACCTCTCCAGCCCCCAAGAAGAGAAAGAGTTTCTTCTGTAAACATACAACCTACCTCTCCAGCCCCAAATAAAAGAAAGACATTCTTCTGTAAACATGCAACCTACCTCTCCAGCCCACAAGAAAAGAAAGACATTCTTCTGTAAACATACAACCTACCTCTCCAGCCCCCAAGAAGAGAAAGACATTCTTCTGTAAACATACAACCTACCTCTCCAGCCCCAAATAAAAAAAAGACATTCTTCTGTAAACATACAACCTACCTCTCCAGCCCCTAAGGAAGAAAAACATTCTTCTGTAAACATACAACCTACCATTCCAGCCCCAAATAAAAGAAAGACATTCGTTTGTAAACATACAACCTACCTCTCCAGCCCCCAAGGAAAGAAAGACATTCTTCTGTAAACATACAACCTACCTCGCCCGAGTGTTGGGACCAAACAGATAACAATATGCCTGATGCAGGATGTTAAATTCTGTCCTGCTAACGGTTCGTCAAAGATATCTAACATGCGAAGAAAAATAATGCACCTATTTGTGTGGTCACAAAAGTCCGGAACCCCGCTGCTCCCCTCTGATCTCCGGAGGGCACAGCCCTTGTCGAGCGGAAGGCCTTATACGGTTGTGAGGTTAAGCAGGCATGTGTAGGACGTGATGATTCCTTGGGTAAGCCCAGAACCAGAGCGCCATGTGCTGGCTCTGCATACGTGGAAGCCTCCTTGGATGGCGGGGAATGCCCATGATCTGCCTCTGCCTTCATTTGAGGGCTAACCGTTCCACAAGGGCTACTCCGGAGGCAACACCTGCGAAGAAGGCGACAAAGAGGACACCACACAAATCAGGCAACGTCTCGACCCACAAAACAATGGCCACAGTCATCCTAGAAATAGGCCTGACGTTTTCCCTCGAAGTCGGAGTACAGCTGCCCATGAGGCAGGGAACAGCAAAACAGTTGCACACGCAAAACTCAGGTCCAGGTAAAAGCCAAAAGTCCAAGCGGACGATTAACTGGGACCTTCCGCCGGAATTCACAGCCGGTGAACGAAGAAAAAGAAATTCTTCTGTAAACATATAACCTATCTCTCCATCCCCAAATAAAAGAAAGACATTCGTTTGTAAACATACAACCTACCTCACCAGCCACCAGAAAGAGACAGACATTCTTCTGTAAACATACAACCTACCTCTCCAGCCCTGAGTAAAAGAAAGACAATCTTCTGTAAACACACAACCTACCTCTCCATCCCCAAATAAAAGAAAGACATTCTTCTGTAAACACATAACCTACCTCTCCAGCCCCCAAGAAGAGAAAGACACTCTTCTGCAAACATACAACCTACCTCTCCAGCCACCAGGAAGAGAAAGACACTCTTCTGTAAACATACAACCTACCTCTCCAGCCCCCAAGAAAAGAAAGACATTCTTCTGTAAACATACAACCTACCTCTCCAGCCCCCAAGAAGAGAAAGACACTCTTCTGTAAACATACAACCTACCTCTCCAGCCACCAGGAAGAGAAAGACACTCTTCTGTAAACATACAACCTACCTCTCCAGCCCCCTAATAAAAGAAAGACATTCGTTTGTAAACATACAACCTACCTCTCCAGCCACCAGGAAGAGAAAGACACTCTTCTGTAAACATACAACCTACCTCTCCAGCCAACAAATAAAAGAAAGACATTCTTCTGTTAACATACAACCTACCTCTTCAGCCCCCAAGAAGAGAAAGACATTCTTCTGTAAACATACAACCTACCTCTCTAGCCCCCAAGAAAAGAAAGACATTCTTCTGTAAACATACAACCTACCTCTCCAGCCCCCAAGAAGAGAAAGAGTTTCTTCTGTAAACATACAACCTACCTCTCCAGCCCCAAATAAAAGAAAGACATTCTTCTGTAAACATGCAACCTACCTCTCCAGCCCACAAGAAAAGAAAGACATTCTTCTGTAAACATACAACCTACCTCTCCAGCCCCCAAGAAGAGAAAGACATTCTTCTGTAAACATACAACCTACCTCTCCAGCCCCAAATAAAAGAAAGACATTCTTCTGTAAACATACAACCTACCTCTCCAGCCCCCAAGGAAGAAAAACATTCTTCTGTAAACATACAACCTACCATTCCAGCCCCAAATAAAAGAAAGACATTCGTTTGTAAACATACAACCTACCTCTCCAGCCCCCAAGGAAAGAAAGACATTCTTCTGTAAACATACAACCTACCTCTCCAGCCCTAAATAAAAGAAAGACATTCTTCTGTAAACATACAACCTACCTCTCCAGCCCCAAATAAAAGAAAGACATTCTTCTGTAAACATACAACCTACCTCTCCAGCCCCCAATAAAAGAAAGACATTCTTCTGTAAACATACAACCTACCTCTCCAGCCCCTAAGAAAAGAAAGACATTCTTCTGTAAACAAACAACCTACCTCTCCAGCCCCAAATAAAAGAAAGACATTCTTCTGTAAACATACAACCGACCTCTCCAGCCCCCAAGAAAAGAAAGACATTCTTCTGTCAACATACAACCTACCTCTCCAGCCCCCAGGAAGAGAAAGACATTCTTCTCCAGCGGTATTTTGGTTATCAAGAGACTAGACAGGATGCCAGCGACTGCGACTGCTGCTGTTCCTGCAGATATCAAACAAGGGCATGGACAGCCATGGTAGCTTAGCAACTAGATGCCTGCCTGCTGGCCTGAAGGTCTCGGCATCAATTCAACATCAAGTGTTTCTCATAACTGAGACTGGCTCCTAGGGTAACCTAGTCTAAACATGGGTAGCAGCTAATGTCATGGGAAGTAAATGTGGCTGGCGGGATGATGAAAACCTGACCCTTCAAGTTTTGATTGGTCTGCTGATGCATGATGCCCCTTCAGAGCCGACAAGCCGTGTAGGGGGCTTCTCTTTGGTCTGACTGGTGTATTGGGCTTCTCTCTGCTCTGACTGGTGTAATGGGTTTCTCTCTGGTCTGACTGGTGTATTAGGCTTCGCTCTGGTCTGACTGGTGTAATAGGCTTCTCTCTGGTCTGACTGGTGTATTGGGCTTCTCTCTGGTCTGACTGGTGTATTGGGCTTCTCTCTGGTCTGACTGGTGTATTGGGCTTCTCTCTGGTCTGACTGGTGTATTAGGCTTCTCTCTGGTCTGACTGGTATATTGGGCTTCTCTCTGGTCTGACTGGTGTATTGGGCTTCTCTCTGGTCTGACTGGTGTATTAGGCTTCTCTCTGGTCTGACTGGTGTATTGGGCTTCTCTCTGGTCTGACTGGTGTTATGGGCTTCTCTCTGGTCTGACAGGTGAATGGGCTTCTCTCTGGTCTGACAGGTGTATGGGCTTCTCTCTGGTCTGACTGGTGTATGGGGTTCTCTCTGGTCTGACTGGGGTTATGGGCTTCTCTCTGGTCTGACTGGTGTATTGGGCTTCTCTCTGGCCTGACAGGTGTATGGGCTTCTCTCTGGTCTGACTGGTGTATGGGGTTCTCTCTGGTCTGACTGGTGTATTGGGCTTCTCTCTGGTCTGACTGGTGTAATAGGCTTCTCTCTGGTCTGACTGGTGTAATAGGCTTCTCTCTGGTCTGACTGGTGTATGGGCTTCTCTCTGGTCTGACTGGTGTAATAGGCTTCTCTCTGGTCTGACAGGTGTATGGGCTTCTCTCTGGTCTGACTGGTGTATGGGCTTCTCTCTGGTCTGACTGGTGTATGGGGTTCTCTCTGGTCTGACTGGTGTATTGGGCTTCTCTCTGGTCTGACTGGTGTAATAGGCTTCTCTCTGGTCTGACTGGTGTAATAGGCTTCTCTCTGGTCTGACTGGTGTATTGGGCTTCTCTCTGGTCTGACTGGTGTATGGGTTTCTCTCTGGTCTGACTGGTGTAATAGGCTTCTCTCTGGTCTGACTGGTGTAATAGGCTTCTCTCTGGTCTGACTGGTGTAATAGGCTTCTCTCTGGTCTGACTGGTGTAATAGGCTTCTCTCTGGTCTGACTGGTGTATTAGGCTTCTCTCTGGTCTGACTGGTGTATTAGGCATCTCTCTGGTCTGACTGGTGTAATAGGCTTCTCTCTGGTCTGACTGGTGTATTGGGCTTCTTTTTGGTCTGACTGGTGTATGGGCTTCTCTCTGGTCTGACTGGTGTTTTGGGCTTCTTTTTGGTCTGACTGGTGTATAGACTTCTCTCTGGTCTGACTGGTGTATGGGGTTCTCTCTGGTCTGACTGGTGTAATAGGCTTCTCTCTGGTCTGACTGGTGTATGGGCTTCTCTCTGGTCTGACTGGTGTATGGGCTTCTCTCTGGTCTGACTGGTGTATGGGCTTCTCTCTGGTCTGACTGGTGTATTGGGCTTCTCTCTGGTCTGACTGGTGTTTTGGGCTTCTTTTTGGTCTGACTGGTGTATAGACTTCTCTCTGGTCTGACTGGTGTATTGGGCTTCTCTCTGGTCTGACTGGTGTATTGGGCTTCTCTCTGGTCTGACTGGTGTATGGGCTCCTCTCTGGTTCTGACTGGTGTATTAGGCTTCTCTCTGGTCTGACTGGTGTATGGGCTTCTCTCTAGTCTTGACTGGTGTATGGGCTTCTCTCTGGTCTGACTGGTGTATGGGGTTCTCTCTGGTCTGACTGGTGTATGGGGTTCTCTCTGGTCTGACTGGTGTAATAGGCTTCTCTCTGGTCTGACTGGTGTATGGGCTTCTCTCTGGTCTGACTGGTGTATGGGCTTCTCTCTGGTCTGACTGGTGTATGGGCTTCTCTCTGGTCTGACTGTTGTATGGGCTTCTCTCTGGTCTGACTGGTGTATGGGGTTCTCTCTGGTCTGACTGGTGTATGGGCTTCTCTCTGGTCTGACTGATGTAATAGGCTTCTCTCTGGTCTGACTGGTGTATGGGCTTCTCTCTGGTCTGACTGGTGTATGGGCTTCTCTCTGGTCTGACTGGTGTATGGGCTTCTCTTTGGTCTGACTGGTATATTGGGCTTCTCTCTGGTCTAACTGGCGTAATAGGCTTCTCTCTGGTCTGACTGGGGTATTGGGCTTCTTTTTGGTCTGACTGGTGTAATAGGCTTCTCTCTGGTCTGACTGGTGTATTGGGCTTCTCTGAGGTTCTGACTGGTGTATTGGGTTTCTTTCTGGTCTGACTGGTGTATTGGGTTTCTCTCTGGTCTGACTGGTGTATTGGGTTTCTCTCTGGTCTGACTGGTCTATTGGGCTTCTTTCTGGTCTGACTGGTGTATGGGCTTCTCTCTGGTCTGACTGGTGTATGGGCTTCTCTCTGGTCTGACTGGTGTATGGGCTTCTCTCTGGTCTGACTGGTGTATGGGCTTCTCTCTGGTCTGACTGGTGTATTGGGCTTCTCTGAGGTTCTGACTGGTGTATTGGGTTTCTTTCTGGTCTGACTGGTGTATTGGGCTTCTCTCTGGTCTGACTGGTGTATGGGGTTTCTCTCTGGTCTGACTAGTGTATTAGGCTTCTCTCTGGTCTGACTGGTGTATGGGGTTTCTCTCTGGTCTGACTGGTGTATGGGCTTCTCTCTGGTCTGACTGGTGTATGGGCTTATCTCTGGTCTGACTGGTGTATGGGCTTCTCTCTGGTCTGACTGGTGTATGGGGTTTCTCTCTGGTCTGACTGGTGTATGGGGTTTCTCTCTGGTCTGACTAGTGTATTAGGCTTCTCTCTGGTCTGACTGGTGTATGGGCTTCTCTCTGGTCTGACTGGTGTATGGGCTTCTCTCTGGTCTGACTGGTGTATGGGCTTCTCTCTGGTCTGACTGGTGTATTGGGCGTCTCTGGTTTAGTCATGCACCTTGTATTTTTAAAGGCTGTTGATTTTGGTTCTGACTGTCGTTTCATTCGTGAGGTGAGGCAGAGGTGATTGTTGGGACTATGGTGTTAAATTCTTTGTAAAACAATCAGATGGGGATCAGCATATCTGCCTGCGTGTGCCAATTATCCCCTATGGGCGGCTGTCTGCAAGTCTGACAACCTGAGATTAGAAAATCTCAACCATAGTGGCAGTCTGACACCATGAGACTGAAGAATCTCAGTGCTGAGTGCTAATGGCAGATCAACTGGGCAAGCCTAGATAATCCATTCAACCTCCAATGATATAATTAGGGAAGCAACAAGGACTAGACCAGCCAGGTGTAACATGCAGTCCTGTGTGGCTACAGATGATTAGTGCAAGTCCCACAGGATAACACCGTGTCCAATCTGATGTCTCACCTGTCCAATCTGATGTCTCATCTGTCCAATCTGATGTCTCATCTGTCCAATCTGATGTCTCACCTGTCCAATCTGATGTCTCATCTGTCCAATCTGATGTCTCATCTGTCCAATCTGATGTCTCATCTGTCCAATCTGATGTCTCATCTGTCCAATCTGATGTCTCATCTGTCCAATCTGATGTCTCATCTGTCTAATCTGATGTCTCATCTGTCCAATCTAGTGAATACTCAGGCTTTTTATAACCATTTGCAAAATAAAAAAAATCGGGTGTGCATGGTAACATTCTATTTATCTGCTGCTTTGTACAATCATGTCTTTTTCTTTCACCAGGACATCACATCATGTTCAAAGTTTCTGTTCAACAAGCTATTTTCCCTGGTCACTTCATTTCTATTAAAAACCACAGCTTGATTTGCCCTGAATTCTGCCTGTGAACTAAGTCTACAATTCTCAGAGCAAGCATAAATACCTTGAATATCATCATTGAATATAACCACAGCTTTATCTGCCATGAACTCTTGCTGTTAACTATGTCTAGAATTCTCAGAGCAAGCAAGCACACTTACCTTGAATATCATCGTTAAATGTACAGTATCTGTCTCTGTAATTCTCTAGAAGCCTAAATGCATTCTGGTTGCCAAAGTCCTCAAACTGGATCAGGCAATTCTTGCCAAATCTGAAACATAGGCAATAAGAACATGTTTGCTCAATCCCAAACATAGGCAATAAGACATGTTTGCTAAATCCCAAACACATGAAATAAGCAGTTTAGGTCATTTACCAATAATACACCTAACTACAGACAGTGTGGAACCACCACACATATAATTGCAAGTAATAAAAAAAAATCAGTTACTTTCTGTCTATCACTTTAGCATTCACTGAGTTGCTAGTACAGCTAGAAGAACTAACTCAGGAACTAGGATTACGAGTTGCCAGCCACAGAAACAGTAATGAGGAAAAACTATGTTTGCTACATTTTAAAGTTACTTTCAGTAAATATTTTATTTCAGTAGCATTTTAAAGGTATTTTTGAATTGATATTTATTAAAGTTCTGACTGTACATTTAATGAATATTTGTTTCATTTTTTAAAAATCAAACCCTACTGATATGCCCCTTATTTCTGTCAGGGCAAGCAAAGGGAATGTATAACACCTAGTTCCCCAATCAGAGGTCATCGTAGCAGGGTAGCTTCCCTTTCAAACATTCAAGTCGAGGCGGCAAGTTGTGTCTATGCATGAGTTTCCCTGCCTAGACCTGGATCGCCTCTGTTCTATCCATGACTGCTATAGCTGTGACAGCTGTATCCACGACTGCTATTGCTGTGACGGCTGTATCCACGACTGCTATAGCCGTGACGGCTGTATCCATGACTGCTATGGCCCTGACGGCTGTATCTATGACTGCTGTATCCGTGTGCTTTCCTCTTTGTCATCTCAACCTTTGTAGCTGAAACCTGATTTTGAATCCTGACCTATTCCTGTGTGGTTTGTGGGTCCCATGTTGAGGGGAGAACTGCTCCACTGCCACTTCACAGAAAAGGTGGCTAGTGTTTGCTAAAATTACAACAGTTCAGATATCACAGACTAGCTTGCATCCCCACAACACAGTATACTAATTGCCCTTATAGAAAATACAGAAAATGAAGAATCCTTATCTGAGAGGGCTGGGTATCAGTTCTTTCTATCCAAAACACCAGGACATCTTTAACTGTTTTCACTAGTCCGTTCCTAGTTGATTTATTGAGATGTGAAAACTTAGTTATTTTTAGTGCTAACTCCACAACAGTAGTTGGCTGCAATACCTTCTGCACTAAGTAAAGAAATGTTACGTGGTGATGTCACAATTTCTTCCAGAGTGCAACTCTCATACCACTGTCTGAAAGAGATGAAACCGGCCTGTTTCTAAACTGCCTACTTTGGGAATCGAACCCTGGTAAATGCTGAGGACTGCATTGTGACACAATTTCACTAACCTCTAAGTCAAGCCAAGTAATTAGTGTGCTGGCTTCTAAAGGTAATAGCTGTGGTTCAATTCCCAGCAGCTGTAGACTTTCACCTCCTGATCAGTGCCTCACAGACTGGACAGCATGATAATGTTCAGGAAACTGTATGGGAAGGAAAGGCAGCGGGGAGGTTAACAGCCCCCCCCCCACCCCACCAGCAAAGAATAAGTTGGTCATCGTGATCAACTGGGGGATGTAAGATTCTACAAATCCATTACTGGAATTCCTTGCTGGCTGCAGGACATGTGGACATTGTTTGGAATGTCCTAAGTAACATGATGTTGGTTCTCAACTTAACTCCAGTGTAAGATTGGAGAATTGTGATAACAAACTAAAGAGGTAGATACCAACCTTCTAACCACAGCACACATGAATTCATCAATCAGATTGTTGTAGTTTTCACCTGCCTCCCGTGGCTGTCTGAGACCAATGTAGAGGGGGTCGTTGCGGATGTTCTACAAGAAACAGTCAACAATGTAGAAGTGGTTGTTGCATATGTTCTACAAGAGACATGGTCTACAATGTAGAAGTGGTTGTTGCAGATGTTCTACAAGAGACATGGTCTACAATGTAGAAGTGGTTGTTGCAGATGTTCTACACGAGACATGGTCAACAATGTAGATGTGGTTGTTGCAGATGTTCTACAAGAAACATTCAACAATGTAGAAGTGGTTGTTGCAGATGTTCTACAAGAGACATGGTCAACAATGTAGAAGTGGTTGTTGCAGATGTTCTACAAGAGACATGGTCTACAATGTAGAAGTGGTTGTTGCAGATGTTCTACACGAAACAGTCTACAATACAGAGTGGGTTGTTGCAGATGTTCTACAAGAGACACGGTCAACAATGTAGAAATGGTTGGTTGGGATGTTCTTACAAAAAACAGTCAACAATGTAGAGTGGGTTGTTGCAGATGTTCTACAAAAGAAATGGTCAACAATGTAGAAGTGGTTGTTGCGGATGTTCTACACGAAACATTCAACAATGCAGAGTGGGTTGTTGCAGATGTTCTATAAGAGACATGGTCAACAATGTAGAGTTGTATCAGGGTTATATAAATTAAAAACACTTGAAATGTCTTGTCAGGTAGGGCTCACCACAGCACAGTTTACGTGTGTCTAGTTGGAACATTTCCATCTGTCCAGGTGAGAGTGATATACTGTGCTAACATCCCAAAGGTATGTCCTAATGCGCCACAAGCCAAGGTCAGTTACAGCAGCAACAGCATAAACTTTTTACTTATGAAACAGTGATTCGATGAGGCAAGTATTTAATGTGCTTCGCTTTTAGAGACTCGTCTCTCAACCCGTGTGTTATGGTTACAGCATGTTTATGTCTATATATTAGTTACAGCACACAATGTTAAATTTACTGCAAAATAACATGGACAAGTACAAAAGGCAACTGACAGTGTGGGACTGACCTCACTGTTAGTGCCGACATCAATCATAATGGGGAGGCAGTGGTGGGGCTGGACCCCTGCGCAGGCGGTGTACAGGGACAGTTTGCCGATAGGGATCCCCATCCCATAGGCCCCCAGGTCTCCCAGACCCAAGATCCTCTCACCGTCTGTCACAACAATAGCCTGACAACATGTACAAACACATCATATCATGCAGATTTATTTGTCATTTTCGTACAGAAGAGAATGGAGAAAACATGATGTCATCTCAACAGACAGAAGAATACACATCATGTTATCACAAAAGAAAGGAGAAAGGACAAAACACATTTCACAACAGCCAGGAGTAAAAACACATGTCATCACAACAGTCAGGAGAAAGGAAAGAAAACATGTCATCACAACAGCCAGGAGAAAGGACAGAACACATGTCATCACAACAGCCAGGAGTAAAAACACATGTCATCACAACCGCCAGGAGTAAAAACACATGTCATCGCAACCGCCAGGAGTAAAAAGACATGTCATCACAACAGCCAGGAGAAAACACAAAACACATGCCATTACAACAGCCAGGAGAAAGAAAAAACACATGTCATTACAACAGCCAGGAGAAAGAAAAAACACATCATGTCATTACAACAGCCAGGAGAAAAGAAAAAACACATCATGTCATTACAACAGCCAGGAGAAAAGAAAAAACACATCATGTCATCACAACAGCCAGGAGAAAAGAAAAAACACATCATGTCATTACAACAGCCAGGAGAAAGAAAACACATCATGTCATTACAACAGCCAGGAGAAAGAAAAAACATCATGTCATTACAACAGCCAGGAGAAAGAAAACACATCATGTCATTACAACAGCCAGGAGAAAGAAAACACATCATGTCATCAACAGTGAGCATATGCTTGTTCACCACCCACAGGACCTGGTTTAAAGTTATGACTCTACAAAATGTAGGCCGCTCTAAGGATTCAAACTGATGCCCTTTGTGTTGACTCCGCCTCAACTGTCTGAATTATGCTCATGTAACACACCCATGGGTGTGGTTTTCTGACTCAAACAAAACTTGTGCCAATATAGCCAACACTCCCTCTGTTCTCCATAAGCCACAATATTTCCATTCCCAAAACTGCACTCAATCAATCAATCAATCAAACAATCAGGTGCCATCTCCACAAGGAAGGTTGGCAGCACTTAATTTCCAACATGCTCTTTATTGTATCCTTGATGTATACTTGTTGAGACTGCTACTGATATTTATCTCCCACTTGAATCACTTGCATTCAACTTCTTCTTTGAGTAATATTTTTATAATAGTGGTCTGTCTTTTAACCTGACCCAAATATTTCCCTTTTCCGATCTGTATTTCCTTCAGCAACTATCTTCTTCCTAGTCCTCAGACATTATGTACTGGACTGTTTTTGTTTTTATGAAATACAACCTATTCTCCTGTATATCCACACCTCCAAAAACTCAATAGATCAGAAATACTTCTTCTTCTTCTCTTCCACCTTGTACCTCATCAAAGTGTTGGGGGGAGATGTAATGTTCGTTGATGGGCTCTGTCAAGAGCACTATTAAGACTGTTCACTTCTGTAAGGCTGTTTTTAATGTCATCGCTGCATATTTTCCTAGGTCTTCCACTCGCTCTATACCAGTTGTAATGTTTTAGATCAGAAATACACAAGCTGGAGACGACTTGCAACCACTCGTTGGTAAGCCAGTGGAATAACCACACCAACACAGTCTCATGGTGTCAGATAGCCACATCTACCAGTGAACAGATGTGGGTGTCCACAAGTTGGTCAGCCAGTGGACTAACCAGCAGTCTCATGGTGTCAGACACCCACATCTACAAGTGAACAGATGTGGGTGTCCACAAGTTGGTCAGCCAGTAGACTAACCAGCAGTCTCATGGTGTCAGACACCCACATCTACAAGTGAACAGATGTGGGTGTCCACAAGTTGGTCAGTCAGTTGACTAACCACACCAACACAGCTTCATGGTGTCAGACACCCACATCTGCCAGTGAACAAATGTGGGTGTCCACAAGTTGGTAAGTCAGTTGACTAACCACACCAACACAGCTTCATGGTGTCAGACACCTACATCTGCCAGTGAACAGATGTGGGTGTCCACTGCCAGTGAACAGATGTGGGTGTCCACAAGTTGGTCAGTCAGGGGACTAACCAGCAGTCTCATGGTGTCAGACACCCACATCTACCAGTAAACAGATGTGGGTGTCCACAAACAGAGGAGCTACTCACCTTGACATCATCGATTGGCCAGTTACACAAGATGTCATACACATGACCTATGTCATGGATGGTGATGTATATACCCCTGGGGGAAACAAAATCAAACAGCAGTTCATTATTTGTCAGCGTTTGAAATTAATTACTACAATCTTCTTATTCTTTGTCTTTCATGTTCCACAGCGTCTATCGACAGACTTCAACACCTACTGTGTAAATAAGCTCTCCTGTCTGTCACAGACGCTTCATGTGAGAAAGCCTTGAACTGGTTCTTGAATCAGAAACTGTGGTTAAGACATGGGGTCTCCAACACATCTGATGCATGTCACAGAATCACTGTATCCAAAACAAACAGGTTATGATGCTGCTGCTGTAACTGACCTTGGCTTGTGGGACATCAGGACCTACCTCTGGCATACGAGACATACACATGGTGATGATGATGATGATGGTGATGACTAATGATGACTGATGAGAAGAGAACTGACCTGGGCTTGCGAAACACCATGCCATATTTCTGGCAGGCTAGCCCGACAGTCGGCGTGTAGATTATGGGCATCATCTGCTCAATGTTCTCAGTGACCACCCTGTAAAAGAGCTTCTCTGACCGGTCCTGCAGACACATCAGGAAGATGAATCTGTCAAGGTCATCGTTCCAGCGGTAGAAGTTTTGCATCACCTGGAACACCTCTGCGTCCTGGTCCATCAAGGCTGGGGGCAGTAGCCCATGAATGCCCAGCAGCTGGCGCTCCTCTAGTGTGAAGGCCATGCCCTGTGAGGATGTTGAGGACAGGACTACGGTTAGACACCTTACTCTTGGAGCCAGGCATGTGTGAATGTTGAGGACAGGACTACGGTTAGACACCCCACTCTTGGAGCCAGTCATGTGTGGATGTTGAGGACAGGACTACAGTTAGACACCCCACTCTTGGAGCCAGGCATGTGTGAATGTTGAGGACAGGACTACGGTTAGACACCCCACTCTTGGAGCCAGTCATGTGTGGATGTTGAGGACAGGACTACAGTTAGACACCCCACTCTTGGAGCCAGACATGTGTGGATGTTGAGGACAGGACTACAGTTAGACACCCCACTCTTAGAGCCAGACATGTGTGGATGTTGAGGACAGGACTACAGTTAGACACCCCACTCTTGGAGCCAGGCATGTGAGGATGTTGAGGACAGGACTACAGATAGACACCCCACTCTTGGAGCCAGACATGTGTGGATGTTGAGGACAGGACTACAGTTAGACACCCCACTCTTGGAGCCAGGCATGTGAGGATGTTGAGGACAGGACTACGGTTAGACACCCGACTCTTAGAGCCAGACATGTGTGGATGTTGAGGACAGGACTACGGTTAGACACCCCACTCTTAGAGCCAGACATGTGTGGATGTTGAGGACAGGACTACGGTTAGACACCCCACTCTTAGAGCCAGACATGTGTGGATGTTGAGGACAGGACTACGGTTAGACACCCCACTCTTAGAGCCAGGCATGTGAGGATGTTGAGGACAGGACTACGGTTAAACACCCCACTCTTGGAGCCAGGCATGTGTGGATGTTGAGGACAAGACTACGACATCTGTTCACTGGTAGATGTGGGTGTCTGACAACATGATACTATGGTGGTGTGGTTAGTCCACTGACTGACCAAATCGTGGACACCCACATCTGTTCACTGGTAGATGTGGGTGTCTAACACCATGAAACTGTGCTGGTGTGGTTAGTCCACTGACTGATCAACTTGTGAACACCCACAATGTCAGTGTGTGTGTGTGTGTGTGTGTGTGTGTGAGAGAGAGAGAGAGAGAGAGAGAGAGAGAGAGAGAGAGAGAGAGAGGAGAAAGAGAGAGAGAGAGAGAGTGGAAAGAGAGAGAGAGAGAGAGAGAGAGTGAGAGAGAGGGAAAAGAGAGAGAGAGAGAGAGTGAGAGTGAGAGAGATGGGAAAGAGAGAGTGAGAGAGAGGGGAAAGAGAGAGTGAGAGAGAGAGTGAGAGAGAGAGAGTGAGAGAGAGAGTGAGAGAGAGGGGAAAGAGAGAGTGAGAGAGAGTGAGAGAGAGGGGAAAGAGAGAGTGAGAGAGAGAGTGAGAGAGAGGGGAAAGAGAGAGAAAGAGAGAGTGAGAGAGGAGTTGAATGGTTAAGAATGGAGTGCAGTGTGTAGAATGAGACAGAGGTGAGACACAAAGTGAGTGGGTAACAACAGTGAATTAACCGTGGCAGACTGTGAATGAGACAGAGGTGAGACACAAAGTGAGTTGGTAACAACAGTGAATTAACCATGGCAGACTGTGAATGAGACAGAGGTGAGACACAAAGTGAGTGGGTAACAACAGTGAATTAATCGTGGCAGATTGTGAATGAGACAGAGGTGAGACACAAAGTGAGTGGGTAAGAACAGTGAATTAACCATGGCAGACTGTGAATGAGACAGAGGTGAGACACAAAGTGAGTGGGTGAACAACAGTGAATTAACCATGGCAGATTGTGAATGAGACAGAGGTGAGACACAAAGTGAGTGGGTAACAACAGTGAATTAACCGTGGCAGATTGTGAATGAGACAGAGGTGAGACACAAAGTGAGTGGGTAACAACAGTGAATTAACCATGGCAGACTGTGAATGAGAAAGAGATGAGACACAAAGTGAGTGGGTAACAACAGTGAATTAACCATGGCAGACTGTGAATGAGACAGAGGTGAGACACAAAGTGAGTGGGTAACAACAGTGAATTAACCGTGGCAGACTGTGAATGAGACAGTGGTGAGACACAAAGTGAGTGGGTGAACAACAGTGAATTAACCGTGGCAGACTGTGACAATGAAGAAACATGAAACAGAGACAGAAACCAAACAATTTCCTCGTGCACTCTGTCTGCTGGTATTTCGTGGCTTAACCAATCTTTAAGTGGAAACTTTCTGTAATCTAATTCATCACTGGACAGTTTTTTTTTCCTTATCGAGCTCTATCAATGCACTTATGGTCTCGACCGAATCCTGCTTTATAGTCTGATTCACTGCCAGTACCAGCCCACCTATCCCCTCTTCCATGACCATAACACCCGCATATCCTGGGTACTGCACAAATAAAATAACTTTGCGGGATGTAATCCAATCATGTGTGCGAAACCTGCCTCAATGTTCTGAGCTGGTTGCAGAACCAACCTTAGCTGTTTGCGTTTTCTCTAGGCAATACTAACTACGTTCAGTTTGCCAGTGCTACTACTCTACGGTCGGTTCTTGATACCCCGAGTGGGATGGAAGATGAACTGCGGTCTATCTTTAGAGACGCCATATATTTATGACTATTGCCTGAATATTTCCACCCTTTAACGTCTTTCAACTTGGAAGTCGCCGAGAAAACATTAACCATCAGTATATTAACTCGCCTTGTTTAGAATAGGATCTCTCATGATATCGATGCCTCTCACTTTGGGACGTCCTATCTTCACCTCTTTGTTGAAAGAAACACTATTGCCCAATTTTATTTGGTGAACATCGTTTGCCATATTGAACTGTCCAAACTAAATACTTAAGGAATAAATCTAAACTAACACATCAACGGTAAACTACGAGGGAAACCAAAAACGAATATCAGCTGCCCAGCGTCTTGTCCTGCAGACAACCGACCTCCATTCCAACGGCTGGCACATTAGAGACAATCACGTGACCACGCCGAGCGGAAGTACTCCGTCAACTGTAGCATAAGTGAATTTCGCCAATCCGTTTAAATGCTATCATCAAATTTACTGTTAGAACAACAACGACCACAGCAACAACAACAACAACTGCTGTACCGCTACAACAACAAAAACAACAAATACTGTTACAAAAACAACAATAAAACTACTTATGCTACATCTGTTACTTCTTCTTCTTCTTCTTCTTCTTCTTCTTCTTCTTCTTCTTCTTCTTCTTCTTCGTCTTCTTCTTCTTCTTCTTCTTCTTCTTCTTCTTCTTCTTCTTCTTCTTCTTCTTCTTCTTCTTCTTCTTCTTCTTCTTCTTCTTCTTCTTCTTCTTCTTCTTCTTCTTCTTCTTCTTCTTCTTCTTCTTCTTCTTCTTCTTCTTCTTCTTCTTCTTCTTCTTCTTCTTCTTCTGCATGTGTCTATGGTAGACGCTTTTGAGCTAGATCAGGGGTTGAGAAGTTCCAACCCAAGGGCCATACCAGACGCGCACATCATTTGATATAAACTTATCAAGAACTCTGCAATAAATGGCAAGGTGTCCTTGATCTCCTGTGCCCACCACCTTGTCTCTTTTTACAGGAAGCATACCATCCATTACTGTTCTATAACAACCATTCTGGTATTTAATATGGACGAACCATTTTACTTCCCAAGACATTATGCTGCCTATAAACTAGTCCCCCTTGATACCATGGTCCTCAAGAATCCCCCGGGACTGGAGCAGTCACTGGCGATCACGACTCCGCACATATATCTGCCATAGGATATCTTATTAAAGCTGATATTGACGTAAAACATATACATATATACACACACTTACACACACACACACACACACACACACACACACACACACACACACACACACACACACACATATATATATATATATATATATATATATATATATATATATATATATATAATATAATATTATGCAAGAGAGACAGGGAGAGGGGGAGAGAAATATGAGACATAAGAGAAAGAGGCGACTATATGTGTGTGTATATACGTGTATGTATGTATGTATACATATATACATGTATCTACACACACATATAGTCGCCTCTTTCTCTTATATGTCTCATCTCTCTCTCCCCCTCTCCCTGTCTCTCTCTCTCTCCCTTATATTTCTCTCGTCTTTCTCATCCTCACTTCTGAATTATGTCACTCTCTAATATCTCTTAGCTCTCATTTTCTCCTATCTTTGGTCTCTTTCTGATCTATAATTTTTCTCTGTTATCACCTCTCTCTCTCTCTCTCTCTCTCTCTCTCTCTCTCTCTCTCTCTCTCTCTCTCTCTCTCTCTCTATCTCTCTCTACCGTTAGCATATTCCGCTGATCATTTATGGAACCCTCTTTCATTTGATTTAAAAAATACAGATATTTCCTACTCATTTAATGGCAGACTGTTTCAATTGATGCTTACGCCTGATTATGTACCACGTTACATGTAGTTGATAATAATCCATATTGCACTATCAATGTATTACTAAATAAGGTGTATATGATTTGTATGTATGTTGGTATGTGTGTTATGTATATGTGTGTATATGTTTGTGTCTGCGTGTGTGTCTGCGTGTCTGTGTATATATATGTCTCCGAGGATGTGTGTTTGTGTCAGTGTCTGTCTGTCTGTCTGTCTGTCTGTCTGTCTATCTGTCTATATGTCTGTCTGTCTGTAATTCCGTCTGCCTGTATGTCGTGAAATGATAGCCATTACGCATCGGTCTGTAAGGCTGATAACCTGTCTTACCTGTAATCTGCACAAAATTCAAACTTGGACTCGCCCAGAAATATATAGTCCCTTATATCTATATATATAGGCCTGTATTGGACAACATTATTATGTCTGCCTTTTCTGGTTACTTTAACTAAACTCCACTTTTAAATGTATATCTCTTGGGGATATATTTAGGGAGTTAATTGAGGTTTCTTGGAAACCGATTTACTCCTTGCCCCAGTATACAAGGGACTTCTTTTGTACCAACGCCTGAAATGTCTAACTGACGCTATTCTCCTTGCCAGCTTCTCAAGCCTCCAGATGTGTTAATCTGTGCCTGTATAACTTTCAATTTTCAAGGCAATCTGGAAATGTCTCAGTTTTTACATATGCTTGGGTAAGTTAATTATAGTTTACGAGTACCTAGAATGATGTCTGTAAAGTAGTCACTGCTGTAGAGAAATCCATATCGGCTGTGTGATCTCACTTAGTTCGACCGTTCTTGATCGCTGGAGAAGCGGATTCGAACGTAGATCCCCCACTGTACAGACTAAATAGCTTATGCCCTCAATAAACCACCCATACTGATAAACATTTAATGCCCTTACAATTGTGTACGTTTTAAACTACTTACAGAATCTGTACATACGAGATGGGGACAGAATTGGGTCAGGGCTGTGTTAATCAAAGTATGTGTGTGTTTGACCCAGATCAATGAGTGCTGGGGCGGTTGGGAAAGCTAGGAATGCAGGTACTGACAGTAAATATTGGTGTCTGTGTGCAGAGTGAGGGGGAGAGGGAGAGTGATATATGTGTTAGACCACTTTATCTATCTCCACTGTATATCTGACTTACCTTCTCTTGCACTTAACAGACAGATAAATATAGGAGACTTATGTCTTTTGGTCTGGAGAGGCAATCTGAGGAATGAAACAGGAGAGCAGGGAGGAGTCAGCAGATGGGGGTTGATGACTGATGCTTGCTCTGTCTTTCCTGTCAAGATGTTACCCTCTTGATGATGACTAATGTTGAGTTATTTTCTTGACAGGATGTATATTTTCTGAAGAGCTGGCAGAAGATTCACAGTCCCACCAACATCCACCAACCATCCAACCACCAGAACCAACTTGTTACCCACCAGCTAACACCTGTGAAGGTTCCTGACATCTCCAACCCATGGGAGATGGTGCCTCAAACAGCTACCAGTACTAGAGCTTAATGTGGCTCAAAGACATTGTGTGTCCTTACTGGTGATAGAGACTTGCTAAATACCGGTACAGTTGCTGTATAGTGAAGTACTCTTACTACTTGATCCAGTGGAGCAGAATTCCCAGAGTCAAAGACAGTCAAATCATCCGGAGCTGAGGGAGGCATCATAGACAGAGAGAAGAGAAGATAAGTCTGATGCTTCGCATGATGTTGTGTTCCTCACAGCTCCATGTGTCCAGTGATGAAAAGATGTCATCTCCAAGACCTTCTGTCTGTGTAGTGTCTGTTTGATTTGGACATGATATCCTGAGATCTGGCATTTGTCTCACTTTTATATATCTAATTTATATTGATTACATACATTCATTTTCATGGCTGACTTAGGTGTCTCTATTTCACCTTTTTAAGTGTTTAGCAGGTGTGTATGTATGTGTATCTTCATTATATGTGTTAACATGGTTATGATAATGAACTATCATAACCTGGGGGCTTTCTTTAGTAAGTAGTGGGGGTGTCCAGCCAAGTGTGCCTAGAAATAGTATATATATATATATTGACATATTTTGTAGTGCCAATACTTGAGTTGCCCTACTCCAGAGATAAGTTGATCGTATATTGGCCACGGGGAATCCCTTAGACCAATACGAGCCAAACGACTCAACATAATTATCTCTGAGTGCTGCTGGTTTTGAAGGAGAAATCCTTACATTAGGCACGCGACAGGAGTGATATGTGACACTGTATCGGCCTCTGTTTTCCTTGCTATCTTTCTCTCCCTACTTCTTTGTAGTTGTCGTTACTTTTCGCTTGTCCTACATGTAACCCTTTTCTAGTTGTACTAACATCAAAGCCTAAGGAGTATTTTGTCTAAAAGAAGAGGAGAGACAAAGTGAAGAATAAGATAAATCTGCTCCTTGAACCGATCTCTACTCTAAGTCTACAAGAGCTTTAGCACAGAATGTCCTGGGGAGTGGAAGCCGAAACACACACCCAAGCTGCTAAAATAACAAGAAGAAAACATGTTCTCTTGGGTGGGACTAAGACCTATAACGTCTTAGCCCTGACAGGATATTTTTTGTGTGAAGTCTAATTAGACGTAATAGTAAAACCAGGCACTAACTATGTCCTATTTCAAATCAAACAAAGAAATATAATCATCAAATTCAAAATGCCTTTATTTTCCTGAACACAAACCATGTCCTGATCACTCCGGCTAACAAGGGAATGGGATAATGAACGCATACGTATAGAGTAAGAAATTACATCAATGATGATGACAAAATTTATTGGAAAATCTTATAAACATGAGGGTTTTATGTTTCAAAATAACATCAGATCAATAAATTGCTTCCAGCGACATGCTATCAAAAATCTCCGAACAAGGATGTATAATATAAATCTAGATCCAATACCACCAGATTACCGAAGGAAATCTAGATCTAACATACTCTATCTTCAGGACGTTCCACTACAATGAAAATCAGTGAGCCAATCCATCTCTCAACCCTGTCCCCTGAACCCACGTCGCAACATGAGTGGTTCCGCGACGAAAGTTCGGAACTATATCTTACTGGTCGCACCACCGCTGAACCCGCAAAATAAATAGCCACGAGAGAAGAGAGAGAGAGAGAGAGAGAGAGAGAGAGAGAGAGAGAGAGAGAGAGAGAGAGAGAACGAACGAACGAACAAACGAACTTTATTTTCAAAGGGTTACAAATTAGGCACGCAGGCCTGTCTTACATTCGGCCCTTCCAAACTTCCATCTTTCGCACACCATTTGTATTTCATCAATGAAGCATGTTATATTTATGTAATAATATGCATATTATATATATAAAGTCAAAAACAAAAGCATGGGTGGTAAAATATGTGCGCACGCTCACGCGCGAACA